TCTCTCTCTCTCTCTCTCTCTCTCTCTCTCTCTCTCTCTCTCTCTCTCACACACACACACACACACACATATCCTAGTTTATTTTCCCATTACTGTAAAACCCAGAAAGGTAACTCCCATTGCTTGATGGAAGTGTTAAGGTCAAAGGAGACAAAGATCAAGTTGAGCCAGGCCAGAGATCAAGGAAACACTATTGCTAAAGGCAACAGTGGATTGTGGACAGAGTCCAGAAAAGGCACAACACTGCAATAGCTGAAGCTCCCTCCGTCAGTAATCAGTCAACAGTATCCTATCAAGGCTGATGTCCTGGTTCTGATAGGTGTGTATGGTTGAGAGATATTTACATTCAGAGAAGCCACAAGGCAGATACAGCTGAATCTTTGGTATCACTTGCAAATATTCCTGTCTGTGCTTACTTCAAAATAAAAGTCTGAACAGCTGTGTCTTTGGAACACACGGAAGGCAAGTTGGCATACATGAAGATGTTCAGTAGCATAATCATTAGGAAAGTGCAAATTAAGACATGAAACCACTACACACCTAATAGAACAGCTCCATTCAAAATACTGACATCGCCGGGCGGTGGTGGCGCACGCCTTTAATCCCAGCACTTGGGAGGCAGAGGCAGGTGGATTTCTGAGTTCGAGGCCAGCCTGGTCTACAGAGTGAGTTCCAGGACAGCCAGGGCTACACAGAGAAACCCTGTCTCGAGAAAAAAAAAAAAAAAAAGAAAAACAAAAACAAAATACTGCCCCAAGTGCCCAGGAGTGTGGAGCAACAGGAATGCAAAATAGTACAGCTATTTTAAACTCTTACCTTAAAACCCAGCAATTATGTTCATTGGCATTTGTCAAATAAGTTGAAACCGTATGTCCACACAAAACCCCGCACAAAGATTTCAGGAACTTTGTTCTTAACTGTCCAAACTTGGAAGTACAGAAAATATCCTTCAGTAGGTGGATGATGAGCTATGGTAGACACTAGAATTCAGTGCTAAAAAACAAAAAAATTAAAAAAAAAAAAAAGCTCCAGCTACTGTAAAAAGATATGAAAGAACTTTCTGTATCACTAAAATAAGCCAATCTGAATAGACTACATACTGTGTAATTGCTCCTAACTACACAAAGACCAATGGATCATGTAGGGACACTCATCTGAAGCGTGCTTGTCCAGCAAGAGGTCCTAGGCTCAACCCCTAAGTTTGTGACAGGAAAATAAAAACAGTCCAAGACCAACAAAAACATTGGTAACTAAGGAAGGGTCAGTGTGGAAAGACATGAACAGGCCAGGCAGAAGAGAGTATTTTTATGGGCACAGATGTAGTTTACATCAAAAATAT